GAAACCAGTGTAATGTCTGCAGAACAGCAGAATAGGAAGATTTCTGCTTTAAACCGCAAACGGCTGGTCAACGTGAAGATGGAAGATTGTTTTGGATGAATTATAGTAAAATTGTCCTCTATAAAAAATTAATTGCTGATCGTATACAAGTAATTTAAGGAAGTTCCACGATCCAAGAATCGATCAAAATTAAACTTTCAATCTCTCGATTAAATCTTATTTTTGGACGCTGGACACCACGACACATAGTTGTAATGTGTGCTGAACCTCATGACATTTAAGCGCTCTTAAATGAGATGCTACCCTGCGTGGAATACACTATAGAAGTGCAAGTTGTTGGGCGAAACCTTGGGCAAGTTTCCTTACTCCACACAGAGCCTAATAATAATCCCTCCAAAACCAAAAACAATAATAAATTGGTCATTTTCAATCTACGACTGTTTGTGGGACATTGCTGTGCGCAATTGGCTGCCGCGTTCGCCCACAAATATACAGTCAATTCACTTTACAGTGTGTTCTGTGAAGCGCTTTGGGACGTCCTCCCGACGTGAAAAGCGCTATATCAAATGCAAGGATTATTATTATTATTGTTGTTGTTGTTGTCGTAGGAATTTTTTTAACTGCTGGAATTTTGTGGCAAAATAAAGTTGAAACGTGAGGCAATGTCGCCACCTTGAGGTACATGTGGAGCATGTCACGGAGACAACATTAGTCGCTGACCGTGCTCCATCACACCCCACATGCTGTTACTATCCTACCCTGGTCTAGATTTACTCCATTTTCTTAGCAGTTCAGAGAATCCAGATTCTTAAATAATAGCCTTCAGTTGGATGCCAATTTTCTGTAGGTTTCTTTAAGACTCGGATAGAATTGCCCAGAATTTTACAGCACGGAAAACAAGTCATTTTGGCCCGACTAGTCTGTGCCAGTTTAAACTCCACACGCACACACATCGCTATGTGCAGACAAACACTGTCGCGTTTGCCGCCTATAAAGTGTATTTTACAGCATATCTCGTGAAACGCTTTTGCGAGGTGCTGTGTCCAAAATGCAATGAATATTATAATGATCTATTAGTGTTATGGCAACAAGTGGTACAGCATTTGAAACTTGATTCACGGGTCTGTCAACATTCTGATCAGAGGGTAAATCCCACAGAAAATTATTTTGAGCAGTAGTGACATGGAATGGTACAAAGGTTTGCTGCGTGTTTGCTTGCATTGGCTTGAGAGCTGTGATGTAAAATTAAATGACCCTTTACAACGCCAAAGAAAGCAAACAGAGATCAGGTTGGTGCAGTACTGGAGGCAAAAGACCCACACACACACTTTTAATTGCAAGAGAAAGAGATACTGCCTTAGAATACTGGGCACAGCATTGGTTCAATTGGAAGTGGAAAAACAACACATGTTTTATCAATAATTTCCAAATACAGTTTACCACAGCACAACACACGCTTCAGCGGAACTACACCAGCGCACACATCCCGTGCAGAATCAGTCATTCACCTCATGGCTGTTTGTGGGACATTGCTGTGCACCAATTGGGCTGCCGTGTCCACCTACAAAATGACATAGTCACTACACTTCAAAACGCTTTGGGATGTCTCAATGATGTGATAACGCGCCATATCAATTGCAACGCTTACTATTGTCAACATGTCTCCAATTACTTCCAAATGATTTTTAGTGGAAAGTGTAGGCAACGGAACACAGATGACATGTTGAAATTCGAGGTGAAGCACAGACACATTTTTCAATGCTCTAAATATTAAAATATCCTCCCCTAAATTTCCCCCCGGGGAATAAAATGACAATAAACTTTTCCCGTCTTCCATTAACAATCGAACAATTTAATTAAAAGTAAGAAAGAATATTTATCTCGCATAAAAAAGCTGGAATTCTGAGTTAGTTCCCTCCACTTTCACTCCCCCTCTCACCTACCCTCCCCTGAAATCAACAGTGCAGGTTTGGCCAAAAAATCAGTAAGTTATAGCAAATAAGGAATAAAGAAATGAGTTATGAACCGTTCAAATGGAAAGTTTTTTTAACTGAATGTAAAGTGGTATTATTGCACTGTTTACGCTTCAAGCCGTCACTCACGACAGAATTCCGCTTATACCCAAGCATCGGAACAAACAGCAATATTTTTGTTAATGCTCCGTACAATTTGAAATTCTTCCGTTTTGCAGAAGGTATGAATTTCGAACACAAACAATCTTCATTTTGTTTGGCATTCATAAAAGAAATCTGTGCAGAGAAGCAAATTCAGTGGACGATTTCTCCGATTTTAAATTCCTGATGGTTTCCCAAGCGCCAGTCAATTTGTGCGGCCACACACACGTGTTGAGTTTCCATGAGCCTAGCTCCCGACGGAGCTCGCATCATTTTAACAGGGTCTTATTCTGCTCCAAAGGCACTGGCCATTACAAGGCAAACTGCAGGAGAAGGTGACACTCTGTGAACTAGCTAGCGATAGTGGTCAGGAGCTACAATGGACTTCAACCCCCACCCCGGCAATTTGGGAGAGAAAAATGGTTCATTCCCCACGTATCAGGACTTGAAATCACAGAGTTTAAGCTGACACTCCAATGCAGGGCTCGGGGGTGTATTGCATCGTTGGTGATGCCATCCTTGAGGTGAGCCGTTTAAATCGAGGTCCTGTCTGCCTGTTCGTTCAGGTGGACACTAAAAAAGACCGTTAAAGTTGAAATGAGCAAAGTTGAATTATTGATGAAACATATTTGATAAAAATGTCAGAAAACGCGCCACAATATTTCTCAGAACCTTCCCCCGAGATGAAGTCAGTACTTTGAAATAATTTAGCTGCTCGTTTCAGTGGTGGCTTAAAAAAACACAACACAATGAAACAAAATACCCAGCAAACTTCAAATGAAAAAAAAACTGCATCAAAAACAAAACTGCATCAGTCTAGTCTGCATCATTCACGAGTTGCTTCAGAAAGCAGACAGCAAGGCACCTCATTTGGGGTGTCAAATGTCATTCCTCGTTAATTTTAATTACTTGCGAGGAATGAAAAAAGTTATAAAAAAGAATTAAATAAATAAGCACTTCAGCCGCGTACCAAACAAGGAGCTATGGAATACGACTTCTTCCATGTGCGTGGCAGTGGTTGATTTGTTTTAAGTACAGACAGGTAAGAGGGCTGACAGATGGCTGATAAATACTCCACACAGCTCGCTGCATTTATGTAGCGCCTTTCACATGAAGGAACATCTCAAAGCTGACACACAGTGGAATCCTGCCTCATGAATAGGACCACACAAATAACAACATGCTATAATTAGAATAGATACAGGAATGCACATATCCAAGGCTTAGGTGTCAGCCTCGTTCAGTCGGGAGCCTCTGCTTCAGAAGGTTGTAGGTTCAACCCCCAGTTTGCGCATAGCAATGTCCTACAAACAGGCAAGGAGTGAGTGACCGATTTTGCTTGGGGGATTTGTTGACCAGGACACGGGGAGGGAGAGAGAAACTCTCTTCTCTTTTCGAATAACGTGATCAGGCACTATATCAAATGCAAGCATTATTACTATTAATGTTATTACAATAATAATACCTCCAAACCAAAAAGCAATAATAAATTGGTCATTTTCAATCCACGGCTGCTCGTGGGACACTGCTGTGCGCAATTGGCTGCTGCATTTCGCCCACAAACTTACGGTCAATTCACTTTACAGCAAATTCTGTGAAGCGCTTTGAGACATCTAGAAGACGTGAAAAGCGCTATATCAAATGCAAGGATTATTATTATTATATTATTGTTACCTTCCCACCAAGCAGGAGAGTTTTTCATAGACAGAAAAACTCAAAAGGATGAAATCTAAGTGGATACAATAGGCTGTAATGCTAGATAACCTTCTGGTCCCAAGTCTAAGGCCCGACTCACTGAGTTTCCTTAATAGTTGTCATGCAAGGAATCAATGAAATCAGCCCATTGCTCCTAAGTTATTTTGGCAAAGCACGGGAAAAGCTCGCAACCTGATAAGCCCACATTCCAATATTTAGTGAGAGCTGCTGTGTTTTTCTACAAGCGTTCCTCGGGAAAAATACACAGGTTGCACAGCAGAACCAATTAATGAAAATAAATCCTCATCGTTTTCCCTGCAGGGAGGGCACGACTGCAGAGAATGTCAGGGGCTCAGGACAGTCAGCAATGGAATAAAACTCACAAACCACTTCCATTGGGGCTGCACCAATCAAAATGTACACTTATAAGATCATCCTGTACCCTGTGTGAGTGGACCCAGAGTCTTGTCAAGTCTCCAAGAAAAATCAAACCTCACAAGTGAAGTTTTGATAGAGAGCTGTGTGCTTTGCACTTGTGCAAATGTTTGGTTATGAAGACAAATGTCTAAAGAAAGTCACTCAGACTTTATAGCTTCCATCACGGTTTGAGCTAAAGTGCTGCCCCTGCCACCACTGCCACACACACTCCACGCTGCCAATACTGTAAGAGCAATCCCAGCAGCTCCCTTATTAATAATAATAATCCTTGCATTTGATGCAGCGCCTTATCACACCGTCGAACGTTTCAAAGCGCTTCACAGCATATACTGTAAAGTGAATTGACTGTATATTTTGTGGGCGAAATTGCCTACAGCAGTGTCCCGCAAACAGTCTTGGATTGAGTGACATTTTTTTTGAGGGATCATTACCCCCCGGAAAGCGGTCTGCCAATCGATTGACAACTGGGTTCCTACTTATTGCTGGGAAAACAGGCGTGTGGAGTAAGGAAACTTGCTTGAAATTTCACTGACGTGCTGGTGGAGTGGGGGGGGATGTGGATTGGTTTGTGATGATGATGAGTTACGTAGAGTAATGGTTAGTGTGCTCACCTTGTAAACGAATAGAGGGGATTAAGAGGGATGGAAGCTAATTTTGGGGTATAAACAGCAGCATGGACCAGTTGGGCGGAATGGCCCATTTCTACGCTGTAACTTTCTACGTAATAATTCCATGCAATCCATGTTCTCCCGGAGAATGCTTTAATATCGGAGCATCTTACAGTGACGCTTTACTGTATACGGTGCTGTCTTAACCACAGCCGTCCCCCAAAACATTTTTATTTCAATATAAAGTCACATCAAACTACGTTTCCAACTTCATTTGTTGCTTCCAGAGTTTCCCATACCACCGAGAAGAAGTAATTGAGTGCTGTACTTGTTCAGAAGTTTCTCTAAACCCACTGAATGCGGTCAATGCCCACTAATCTGACTCCACTGGAAATTAAACGTAACTTAAGACTTTCGGAGCAATTCTCAAAAGTACTTATGGGCCAGGCTGGGCCGAGGGTAGTACAGTTGGTTTCTTAGTGGCTTGATCTCTCAGCCTGGTTTCCCTCTGGCTCTTGGCGAGTTCAACCCGAACCGCGATCCCACTAATCCTCAGGCCACTCAGAGAAGTCACGGCTTTCCCTGCAGTTACTTCATCCCTGTAGTCGAGAAAGGCTCTGTGCTGGGCTCCCTTCCAGTTCAGTCGCACTGGCACAGCATCGTGCTCTCTCAGGACATCCTTCAGTTCACTGACTCTCAGGTTGTGAGGTATATTACCAATGTAAACCGTGGTAATGCTGCTTGAAACACCGAACCCTTTTTCGGCCTCGGATTCCTTACCCGCGCGGCTGTTGCTATTTCTGAACGTTTTGGATCGGCTATTTTTAACCCCGGCCCCAACTCCCAGAGAAAGTGTATCGTCATCCAAACACATCTGCCCCTTCGCTGGGATCGTTCCTTCCATCAGTCGGACGTCTTTTCCTGCTTGTTTTTCTTTGAATCGAAGGTGTTTTAGGATCGGTATTTTTCCCATCATCTGCGAGTCCACCTTGGGAGGGAGTGCAGGCGGGTGGGAGGGGGAGGGGAGTTGGAAGACAAGGTGAAATACAAGACTTGCAATGCAGACTATGGTTCTATAAATAAGAATGCACTTCAGAGGCTGTGGGAACTTTGTGCTGCCTTTATGCTGTATGTTTAACGTCAAATTGTGTCGGTTTGCAACAGATGTTTGCTGGGTTTTTATCCGGTCAGCAGTATGTGTAGTGTATTGACTGTGTATTTTATTGGCGAAACGCAGGACATAATTATAATAAATAATCCTTGCATTTTATAAAGCGCTTTTCATGTCTTCTCGACGTTTCAAAGCACTTCACAGAATATACTATAAAGTGAATTCACTGTATTTTTGTGGGCAAAACTATAATTGTGCACTGCAGCAGCCCACAAACAGTCGTGGACTGAATGATCACAATTATTATTATTAACATGAAGCAAAAGTAGTTTTTAAATCACAGGAGAGAGGAAATACTGGAATGGAGTATAAATTCTAAAGCAATGAACACTGGTTAAACATTAAACTCTCTACTAGTTCCCTTCCTCAGGTTTTACCTTGGACCATATAACCCCCTTTGGCTTGGGGCGTCTGCAGTTTGTTCTGATCACCCGGGTGGGGGTAAGGATATAATCTACTGTAAGGTCGTGCTCTTCCATCAACTCTCCTGGGACGTCAAGCACCTGAGAGCCAGAATAAGGAGGGTTATTAGATTCAGAGTATTTCAATCCGACCTCCGACATTCAATGATGTTGCTCCGCGAGACAGCAGCGAGCAACCAACCACGGAATAAAATAGCTGATTATAATGATAACAATCATACGCCTTGCATTCGATATTGCGCCTTATCACGTCGCTGAGACGTCTGAAAGCACTTTACGGTGTGTGGTATAGTGTATTGACTGTGTATTTTGTGGGTGAAACCCAGTAGCCAATTGCGCACAGCAGGATCCCACAAACAATCGTGGATTGAATGACCAATTTTTTTTTGAGGGGGGATTATTACCCGCAGAAAGCGATCCGCCAATCAACCAACAACCGGGTTCCTATATCAAGTTGTTTGTCTAACATTGCTTGGCTGGTTCCCACTTCCACACTTCCATGGCTGCATAAGCACAAACACTTGGTCCTATCTCTTTGGGTTGGGGAGGAACTGCAGTGGGAAAGATCCCGAATGGTACCTTAATTCAAATCAGTGAATGAAGTGCAGGCATACTGGAGGATAAGGGAGCACAGTAGTCTTACGTTCGAGGAAATATGAAGCCGGTTATTTATTTTTTTAGAACTCATTCGCTTATTCAGGAGGTAAAAAAATATTTAAATGTTTTGCTGTCGAAAATGACTGGCTTCCCCCATCGGAGCCACACTTTTTTAAAAAAAAACTGAGAACGTAACATCCCACCTCTCAGTCCGCAGCTCCTAATGAGCCTCCCTTAACACCCCCTGCTCTCCCCCGCTCTAACATCACCATCCTATCCTTTACCCCCTCCCCCACAAAATCCTAATCACTGAGAGATGTTCACACAAAACACAACGCAGCTTTTTACAGCTGGTATTTAGCAACCAGTGCTCGAAGCCCCCTGAGGGAAATCGCACTAGAACTCCCTGGTGTATTTGAACACAGAAGTTCTGGCTTATTTTAAGTGCACTGCCACATATTCAGATCTGCAGGTCAATTTCTGCTGTGTTTTCTCAAAATCCTGCTGCTGAATTCACTGAGCAATTAAGAGTGGGAAAATCCTAACTGATGTTTCCCCCTCCTCCCTCGCCCCTCGCAAAATCACAGCGATTTGTTTCTTTCTGAAACGCTTCAATAAAACTTGCAATCTAATTACAGTGCAATATACAGCACCTACAACAACAACTTGCAATTGTATAGCGCCCCCCCCACCCCCCACCCCCCATGCAGGGTAGAGTCTCAGAGCGCTTACACCTATGTTCATCTCAATGCGCCTGGCCTAGGGAGGATTAGCTGTTCCTGATTGCTCTGCCAACGGGAAAGTGTGTGTGTATGTGTTTGCGTGTGTGTGTGCGCGCGCGCGAGTGTGTGTTTGGGGAGGTCGGGATGCATTGGGCAAACAGTTAGATAAGATTCCCCCAATGCTTGAGTTGGCCTCGATGCCTGTGTGGAGAGGAACTAGCGACATGGAAGATTGGGCCAACAAGACTAAGAGGAGAGAAAGCACCGGGGGAGTGAGGTTACTAAGAAATATGATTTAATTGTGTTTATGACTGGTGGCTGAACACACAGCTCTCTCTTTCTCTCTCTCTCTTGCAACAGCCACCTGATCATTTGTCAATGTCTTCGCCGGACACACCTGGGAATCGTGTACCGTGGTCACCACAACTGTCTTCTCATCCACAGCTCCCATCGATACCATCATCGAGTACTCCAGGTCAGAGAAACCCTCGCCTTTGCCAATCCTCCAGCCTTGGCAGCCAGGACAAGATAAGGACCATTAGAGGCACGTAACTGGACTGGTACTCAGTGACACATCAGATATCATCTTTGTTTCTAATCCTAGTGAACTGACACTCCCATGGTTTTACTGGGACTATTGACCCCCTACTCCCATCCCCTCACCTGCTTACCCATTGCTCAATGTCCCCTCACCTGCTTTGACTTTCTTCCCCCACATGTACATTCTCTCACGATTCCCAGCACAGCATCGAGTTGTTTTATAAACGAGTCCCAATGTTCCTGGCATAAACCACCCTTTCTGATAACCTGTTCCAGTCGTTAATTATCCACTAGGTAAAGAAATACTTTACTCTGACCTGAGATAGACCCCTTTGGCAGCCATTTAAACCAGTGCTATCTTGTCCCACAGTCTTGGTGCATTTGAGAGTATTGTTCTGGGTTTACTTTTTTTTCATCCCATTTAACGTGTAACACACTTCTCGATCGGGCCCAGTCAGTGACACCTCCTTTCGAGACTGAATGTGATATTAATGCGGATTCACTGTGATAGAAATCTGAGTACAGTTGATGTTACAGCATAAGTTACAGCACTTGGCTGGTCATATTCGGAGATAATTCGCCACGTGTTACCTTTGTCTGAAACGGCCACAGAACCCACCACAATCAGATCTACATGGACTTTAGCATCAAGTCCTACCGGCACACTGTACTCCTTCACCCCCTGGGGGGGGAAAAAAAACACAAAGATACACTAATTCGACATAGCGCCTTATCACGTCATTGAGACATCTCAAAACGCTTCATAGGATAGATACACTGTAAAGTGGACTGATTTGTGGCCGAAACTCAGCAGCCAGTTTGTGCACAGCAATGTCCCGCAATCAGCCATGAAGCAAGACTTTTCGAAAAGACTTTTTTTCCTCTCCAACCAAAATGTAGTCCCAGCGAGTGATTTGTGAACGAGGTTAATTTTTAAACTGCGCTTTTCACCAAAGAGCGGACTTTTCTCTCCCCCTCCCCCAACACACATATAAAATCCGTTCTGTGATCAGATTGCAGGGTGAGGCTTCCCCCCATCAGTAGTTTCATTGCTCACTGAATGTGCTGAGAATGCAGGTGCTCGTGCATAAGGCATCTTACCCAGTGGCAAGATGACTTCCATTCAATCCACCTTCCTGCTGCGAGTCAATGCAACCTTGTGCATTATAAAAACACTTCAATTCCTGAAATGCCAAACTGAAATCCCTATTGTCGGTCTCGTTCCTTTTTTTAAGGGCGGGGGGTGGGGGTGGGGGTGGCAGAGCGGAAGCAAATCTTTTCGTACAGGTAAGAATAGAGAGAATAACCTTTACATTCGTCTCAAAGCACTTCACAGGATTTTACTGTAAACCGTAGTGACTGCGTGGTTCGCAGGTGAACCCGGCAACCAATTCGCGCAGTGAGCAAACGCCCCACAAACAGCCGTGAAGTGAATGAGCGATTTGATTGAGGGGATTGTCGGCCAGGACAGGACACCGAGAAAGAGAAACTCCCTCCTCTTTTCAAGCAGTGCCGTGGGATCTTTAACGTCCACCTGAACGGGGTGTAGATGGGGAGTGAGGTTTCAATGAAGGACGGATCGAACAAAAACAAAAACACACACGCCAACAGCTGTACTCCAATCAAGTCTGTTGCCATTAACAGTTGCCCTTACCTTAGCAAAGTGCTCTGAGAAGGGCAGTATAAAAATGTCTATTTCAGTCATCAGATAAGTGGCTGATATTTGCAAGTTCGTTGTTTAAACTTGGAAATAACTGGAGCTGCCCTTCTCCACCACCCCCCTCCCCCACAACCCCCACCACCCCCGCACATTTCATATATATTTGTTGTGGTTTCACTGATCAATGGCTCCTTCCGATCGGGCGGGGAACTCAAAGGCAACTTTGGACATTAATTAATCCGCAGATAACCAATGCTCAGTTTTTGCATTAACCCGGGAACGCCAGTGAACAAGGTCGCCTGGTGACACAGCTCAGCAGCTTCATTATTACCGGAGCATGTGACAAAGTCACTGAACCGAATCGTTTGCTGTGGATTCCTTGCACGTTTTTCCCATATTCGCTCCTCAGTTAATCCGTTAATCGCTCACTCCCCGTCACTACCCGGCTTTAAAATGGCAAGTCACCCTGTTAATGAAACTCCCCATCATCTACCCTTGACTTCTTCCTCTGTTAAACACCCTATTGCTCTGCCCGTCCTCTTGTTTAATCGCACACCAGCTCCTGGGTCCGTGTAGCCACTGGATTGCCTGTACCATGTTCCACACCATTTGTGCTGTCAATCTTAACGTTAACTCAGTTACTTTCCAGACAGTAGCAAGTGACGAACACTGGATGGCGAACTAATTCTGTCCTCAGGAATGGGCTGAAAAAAAATCGCAAACCAGCTAGCACATTATCGCAGCACATGCGGAAACCCATCACCGTGCTGAAGAGTATCCAAACCAAACTAAGAATTTCATGCGTCAATCCTTGCCATTGATTCAGCGGCATCGTTCATGTCGGGAGGACTTCCCAAAGCATTCACGGGGGATTTAATGTAAAATGGAGTCACTGTGGATTCTGCAGCAAATTTGCGTGCAGCAATGACTCACAAGCTGCCATGAAGTGAGTGACTAATTTTTGTATGTATAACCTATCGGAGCTTTTGGAACTGTCCCTCCGTTTGCAACTCAAAAGTACCCAACGTGGGGTTTGAACCCACGACTTTCTGACTCAAAGGCGAGAGCGTCAGCAACTGAACCAAGCTGCCTCTGCCTCTAATAACACTAAACTCAGGCTGAAAAGAAGTGAAGCAAAGAAGTAATGTACCCACCCGAGCCGTAGAACACACTCTGAGCATTTCCTTCGAGGCTCCCACTGGAGGGATTATCTTGTTGAACAGCCCTGTTCTAAGCCGAGGTGTTGGGACCAGCAAGGTTTTTTTTGCCTGCAACAATATGAATCACATCAAACAACGACTTTTTTTGCACACAAGCATCCTGGTGAACAGTGTATAAACCAGCTCATCCCCCGCGGACACCGTCCAACAAAACATGCAAGTCCACTTCGTAATCCGCAAAAGTCATTTTCACACAGGCCCAAACTAATTTGATTGCTGGCAATCAATGTAACTGAGTGCCTCAGGTTATTTGAGCACAGCGACGTCCCACAAACAGCCGTGAAGTGAATGACCGATGTTATAATAATAGTATATAATAATCTTTGCATTTGATGCAGTGCCTTATCACGTCTCCGAGACCTCTCAAAGCGCCTTCACAGAATATACTGCAAAGTGAATCGACTGTATATTTTGTGGGCGAAACGCCAGCAGCCAATTGCCCACAGCAGCGCCCCGCAAACAGTCGTGGACTGAGTGACCAAATTATTATGATTATTCTTTATGTGTTGCCACTACCTGGAGGCTGACTAAACGGATTCCTTCCAGTGGTTTATCGGGATCCACTTTGACCTCCCTCGTTGCGCTGAAGAAGTCGAGGTCCACGATTTTACTGCAGGCATCACCGGCCCCCTGGGGGAGTGACAACACACGCAAAGACACTTACTTCCAAGGTGAGAAAACGGTTCTGTTCCTGAGGCTCGTCAGGGTTCACTTTGACCCTCCCCGCAATCCTGAACTCCCACAAGTTTGACCCATTTTCTGCAGCTCGGGCAGCCCCCTGTGATTGCAGAAGATGTGACAAACTTTGAAAAAATTATATTTAAATAAAAGTAAGCAACGGGAAGGGAAGCATCATCTCCTTGCTACGAACTCTTCTCTCTCCCTAACGAGGCTGCTTAACCTTTTCGTCCACATTAATCGCATGGCCTTTTGAAGGCTTAAAAGATCTGACTGGACCGACATAGGAAAAGAGACCATAGAGCAGAAGTGTGGGATTAAAGGTGGAGCTATTTCAGAGGACCAGCACAGTCCAGTCCAGATGGGCTGAACGGAGCTCACTATTTTCTGCCACAAAAGTTCTGGACTCTATGACACACGTCGTCTGTATCAGATCTCATAATTAGCAGCATCCCAACCCCTCTCTAACTGGCAACGCTACCTTAAAATTAGGGATTCTGTGATGAACCGGCCTTGGGAAGTTTGCCAGGTCGTTTGCTTCCATATAATCCCAAACTTTTTGCCGAATGTCCCATTTGGTGATACCTGGAAAAGAGGAAAATCCACATCAGCCCAGTCTTCACAAATAGTTGGACACTGGGAGAAATTCCTTTTCCTTTTGAACGAGCGCCACAAGATTGTTAACGTCCACCTGAACAGACAGACGGAACCTCATTTTAATGTTTAATCCGAAGACCGGCACCACCAACAACACAGCGTTACCCCCAGCATTGCACTGTTACGTCAGCCTGGGCTATGAGCTCGATATCCCAACGTGGGGCTTGAACCCACAACTTTCTGGATAGCAGTCGGGGGCTTCTACATCTACAATATTTTATATAGCGCCTTATCACGTCTTTAAGACGGCTCAAAGCGCTTTACAGAGTATACGCAGCAGCCAATTGTGCACAGCAGTGTCCCGCAAACGTGGATTGAGTGATCAAACTATAATTATTTTTAAGGGATCATTATCCCCAGAAAAGCCAATCGACGAACAGCTGGGTTTCTACTTACTCCTAGGTAAACAGAGGCGTGGGGAGTAAGGACATGTCATCTCGCTTGCGAGACGAGTGCTCTAACCACTACGCTACAGGGTAAAAAAAAACAAGCCACCAGCTATATAAAATCCTGCTTTGCTAAAATGGCTCTCTCCTCACTCCCAAATCCCCCAGAATTCACAACTTGGCTTTGAACTGAGCATCAGCGAAGGTGTCTTTCACCGCAATATCTGCGCACTGTTTACGTATACCGCACTGGAACATAGAAAGTAAGAAAAGCAAATATATTTATAATTATATATATATAAATATATACAGTATTTATACAGGAAAAAAAAAGGTTGTACCAGGCTTTAACTTGATGGCTGGTTCCATTTTCGCTGAACCACTTATAAAGAGAGTGTGTGGGTGGGGGGTGATCAGCTGTTTGAGATTGCCTTGTGCCACACACACACAAAAACAGACGCACACAGTCTTTTTGTGGCTGAGTCTGCAATAGAACCAGCCACAGTTGGGAGAGCGAAGTGAGTCAGCAAACAGCAGCCACACTCTCCGGCTTATCTCTGAACTCTCCCCAGCTCTTTTTTTTTGCCTCTCTCTCCCTCCCTCCCTCCCTCCCTCCCTCCCTCTTTCTCTGGCCGATGCTGAACGTGTCTCTACCCACTACGGCGTGTCTCGCAGCTCTAAAGACCAGCAATAAACTCAGCCTCTGCGCCTCCTTTCAATCGATTTGAGTTCAAAGAGTGATTGAAGCCCTTCTCTGACTTCCAGTCATTGCACTGCAATTGCGCTGTGCGACAATCAGACATTCTCAACCACTGCACACTTAACTGAAACCCCCCCCCCACCCCGAGAGATGTCACCCCTTGAACTCAATTTGAATCTGTGAGCTCAAAGCCTGTCAGGTATGATAATCATCCTTGCATTTGATGCAGCGCCTCATCGCCTCTTCGAGACGTCTCAAAGCTGATTCACAGAGCATACGGTAAAGCGAATTGACTGCATGTCTTTGCGGGCGGAACGCGGCAGCCAATTGCGCACGGCTGCGTCCCACAAACAGCCGTGGATTGAGTGATCAATTAGTATTGTTATTTTTACTATTATTTTTTTCTTGAGGGATCGTTATCAGGCATGTAGAGTAAGGAAACTTGCCCAATATTTGGCCCTGCCGGGAATCAAACCCAGGTCTCTCGCTTGCGAAGCGAGTGCTCTAACCGCTGAGCTGCAGGACTCCAGTCACCAAAATATTGATTCTTCCCTGGCCTCACTATTAATAATAATGATCATTGCTTTTGATATAGATGCCTTATCACCTCGTCGAGATGTCTCAAAACGCTTCGCAGGATATACTGTTAAGTGGAGTGACTGTGTATTTTATGGGTGAAACGCGGCAGCCAGTCGCACACAGCAGTGTCCCACAAACAGACCTGGAGTAAGCGACCAATTTTATTTGGGGGGATTTTTGGTCAGGACCCCGGAAGAAACTCCCTCCTCTTTTCAAATAATGCCACGGGGTCTTTAACATTCATCTGAACAGGCAGACGGAACCATGGTTTAACATCCCATCCAAAGGACGGCACCTCCAACAGTGTAGCATGCCCCCCATCACTGCATTGATGTGACATTTAGACTATGTGATTCCAAGCCGCAAAGTGGGGCTTGAACGCACAATCTTCTGACACAGAGGCGAGAGGGCTAGCCTTTAGCCAGACTGACACATAAATTATTCCCAGCGTACAGAACAAAACAAGGAATAATCCCATCTCTTACTCTTCAAATGACTTCACTATAATGATTTGCATTGTACACATTTACATTATAATAATAGTAATAATAATCCTTGCATTTGATATAGCGCCTTATCACATCTTTGAGACGTGTCAAAGCACTTCACAGCGTATACTGTAAAGTGAATTGACTGTATGTTTCGTGGGCAAAATATGGCAGCCAATGCGCACAGCAGTGTCCTACAAACAGTCATGGATTGAAGTGACCAATTCATTTTTATTATTTTTTTAATGAATTATTAAAATTATTATTAATTAGTTTGTGGAGTCCTGTAGCTCAGTGGTTAGAGCACTCGCTTTGCAAGTGAGAGACCTGAGTTCAATTCCAGGCAGAGGGCGAAACCTTGGGCAAGTTTCCTTACCACACAGAGCCTAATAATAATCCCTCCAAAAAAACAAAACAATAATAAATTGGTCATTTTCAATCTACGACTGTTTGTGGGACATTGCTGTGCGCAATTGGCTGCCGCGTTCGCCCACAAATATACAGTCAATTCACTTTACAGTGTGTTCTGTGAAGCGCTTTGGGACGTCCTCCCGACGTGAAAAGAGCTATATCAAATGCAAGGATTATTATTTATTATTATTACCCTTGGAAAAGCGATCCGCCAATCGACTAACAGCTGGGTTCCTACTTACTGGTAATAAACAGAGGCGTGTAGTGTAAGGAAACTCGCCCAACATTTCGCCCTGCCAGGAATTGAACCCAGGTCTCTCACTTGCAAAGCAAGCGCTCTAACCTCTGAGCTACAGGACTCCATGTATTGGATTTATGCATTGGAAATGTGAATCACAGAAGGAATGTGAAGGACTGCGGAAGGGTTAAGGGTTAAATTGGAAAATGAGAATTATTCTTATTTTTACACAAACAGCAGTAAACAAAGCTTGTTTGTGCTTCATGTGCCAGTGTGTTTGTTTGACTTCCAGTCGCAGATCATGCCATAAACTTGGAGAGGTATTATGGCTCTCAGCCCTCTGTGTGGAGAGAATATTTGGGTCTTGTGCACTTTTGTTAGTGTTACTTCAAAAAGTTTATTAAACAAATGGGATTGTGTTAGTGTCGAGGTGTAAGAATGTTAAGTGGTAGAAAGACTGAGCACAGAGAGTCAAAGCAATAATCCGTTTCTTTGGGACAGGCCCAATGAATTGTAATGATGTTTTTCAGTCCTGTCCTTTGCTATATTGACAATGAATGACCTTTGGCTTAGAAAGTTAGCTCCACAGCAAGTGTATACGATTTAACGTATAACATTTTATTATTAATAATAATAGTAATAATAATGCTACTAATAAGAATTTAAATAGGAATGAGAAAGTAAACTCAGTACAATATGTTAACCAGTGAGGGGGGGACACTAGGTTGGGCATTCTGGAGAGATGAGATCAGATGGCCCGAAGGGTCTTCCTCATCCAGACCAATTTTGTGATCTTTGAAAATAGTAGAAGACATTAATGACTGGAACAGGTTAATAGGAAGGGTGGTTGAGGTCAGGACACTGGATTCATTTACTTTGGAGGATTGAGTTGAGCAGTCGGGTCGGTGTGGTTTGAAGGAGGTTGCAGAGGTAGGGTGGAGGGACTTTAATGTTGAACTCTGTAGAGTAGAGGCAAACGGGTTTTCCTGTTCGTGTGGTTTGCGATTGAATGAATCACGCATGAAAATCATTCCAACATTTAAGAATGCGATTAATTTGTATCAGAGGAACAAATGATGTCAGTGCTTCACTTCAGGCTGATCAAGGAAAAGGCTGATGGAGAAAGGCTTAAGCCAGCTCATTTAGGAACGTAAACAATGAAAAAGAAGTGTCATTAAATTCCCCATTATGTTATACTCAAAAGAAAAACAATAATTTGCAAAGAAACATTAAAGAATGATTTTACATACCTCCTCCTACCATGACTAATGAAGTTCGAGTCTGCATGATAATAGTTGAAACCATATTTAGAGGACCGAGAAAGAGATGGAAGCAATTAAACAAAGCAATTGAATTTGACATTATTTACATGCAAGCTTTAATTGCTACCTCCTGCATTGTTGGCCAACATGAGCGGAAACCCCAAATAATAATAATTCTTTAATTTGATACTGCGCCTCATCGCATCAAAACTTCTTAAAGCACTTTGCAAAATTTTCTGTAAAGTGTAGTGACTGTGTAGGCGAATGCAGGAGACATTTTGCATACAACGAGGTCAGAGATCCTGTGTAATTACTGCATTGTGTGTATGGAAACTGGGAAGGAAAGGACGGCTTTTCCGGTGTCCAGGACAATATTCCTCTTAAATTACCTGCTGTGTTTGCCGAGGTAACAACAATCGTGACCCTTCGCAGTAATTCAAGGCGTGAAGTGATTTCAAATGTTTGAACACGACAAAACGCTGCATCTTGTTTACAAGACTGTTTGTGGGACATTGCTGCGTGCAATTGGCTGCCTCTTTCCACCCACAAAATACAGTCAATCCACTTTACAGAATATCGGGCGAAGCGCCTTGAGATGTCTCAACGATGTGATAAGGCGCTATATCAAATGTAAGGATTAATATTATTATCAAATGCAAGTGCAGCATTTATTTGAATCAAATGAATTGTATCAAAAATATGTCATTTCTTTCTCTCGCTCAGTACCCAAATGTACATGGCTAATATCGTGCAAAAACCATAAAAGGAATGAGCCTTTAACTCCACTGTATGATTCAACCCTAAATGGGAAACGTCTGCTTCATGCTATAATTACATTTGGAGGAGAGATTACAAATGA